TCATCAGCTCTGGGTCCCTGTCCCCATATTTAAATACATTAATTTGAGATTTGTTTAAAAAAAATCTTAGAATATCCCCACATGAAATACTTGTGGTGATTATTATTTAGATATTTCATGTTTAGGTGTTTAAAATGCACAAGCAAATCAGTTATTTTTTTAAAATAATCTACTATTTTCCTTTTTGTTGTAAAAAAGACTGAGAAAGTGTCTTTAAAATCTGAGTACTTCAGGAAAGTAAACACATGTTTTCTATTTGCAGATGCCACAAACATAACTCATACACACCATCAATTCTTTTGGCTTCTACATCCTTTCACTCTATATTCTTTCAATCTGCTTAGCTTTTGCTATTACATAGACTCATACTGAGTAGATGCACTCTCTCCTCTCCACTGCTATTACTGAACGTTTTTTCACTGTCTTTCACAAAGTATGATTGAGTTCTAGATTAAATACTAAGGAATTACTTCAGTTTTATTTTAAAAAATGAAATGAACACCCTAATGGAAACATTGGTCTGCAACAAATGCACTAAAACAACATTCTGGTTTCAGAAATACTGCAGGCTTCAGAATAAATTCCAATATTTCAAAATGGGTAATTTTTAACAGGTAATAAAGCAGAAGCCAGCAGGAATTTTTATGTACTTAAAGACACTTATCCAACAAATTCTTAACCATCCAGTTAAGTATCGGTCTTGTTTCCTGGCAGTTATGTCACTCCTAAAATTTTTATCAAGAACAAGTTAGTGCTTTTTTACAATGTTAATTTAAGTCTTCAGTGGGCGCATCTACCTGAGATGTTTATTGTGGAGTTGACTAACTAGCTCTGCAGCATACATCTCGGCATCTATATATACATGCACGGCAATTAGGCTGGAGTAAACTAATTAACTCAGCAGAGTTTTTACTCCACAGCAACGCATGTGTAGATACTGGTGGGGCTGGCTGGGGCATGAAGGTGCTTCAGTGCAGGGGCTGCCTGCCAGCTAGGGGCCCCAGGCAGCCCCACTGCAGCACAATGAGCTGGGGCATCCCTGGACTGACAAGCTGACTCCTGGGGCTCCCTGGCAGCTGGGCACGTTCCAACCCTGTTCAACATGCTACGGTCCCAGGCACACATGCAAACAGCATTCCCGGCAGCAATAGACTCCAGTGCAATAAACTCCAGAGTTCATTACTTTGTATTAACTGCATGTGTACACGTGCCCACGGAGAGTTTAGGTCTTGGGATAGAGCAAAATGACTTAAGAAAATAAATACCTTTAAGCACATAAGTATTTCCATTGGCTTCAATGAGATTTCCACTTAACATTTATTTAAGTTGTTTATACTCTTGAAGACTACTCTAGGAACAGCATTTTAAACTTTCACTAATTGTCCAGTAAATTATGAGACAAAGTAACTTCCTTAACAGGCTAACACAGAAAGGTCTAAGATAGAAGAGATGTCAAAAAGAAATAATTTTATAGATATCTTATGCTCTTTTAAGCATGTATTTTCTACAAAGGAGTTTTTTGGATCCTGAGAGACACTATTTCCTTCTGTGCTAGTCAAGATATTGATATACTGCAACTGACATACAGTAATGTAAACATATGAAAACTACCACAAGTCCTTTGGCGCAAGAATCTTCTTTTTGTTGTCTTTGTACAACACCTAGCATCATAATTGACTGGACTATAATCAAGGCTTCCATGTGCCACTGCAATGCAAATAATAAACACTAGTAACTGTTGAAGCTAAGGGCTGAACTATCATAAAATGGTGCATTCAGAGTAGACTGATTAACGTCTGGCCCCACTGGTTGTCTTAAGTATTCAGAGGCAGTAGAAGATAGTTCAGATGTGCAACTAGGAACGAGGGACAAGAAGTCCACTTTTATTCACCCACTCCAAAACAGAAATATAAAATAATTCTGTAGAAATGAGGCAATTTGGGAAAAATTATGCAACTGAAATGATTTCCTATAAAGGCTTTGGTTCAAGCTTTCAGTAAGTGATTCTTGTAATCACTTCTTCATGCAGATATGGGACTTGTCCTAACTGAAGTATGACACACAAAAGCCTTCACTCGACCAGAGTCTCATGTCAGAGGCATTCTTCCTATGGGTAAGAATGCAAGCAATTTCATCTTGATACAAAACTGACTCAGTTGACGGTCTAACGTATAAATCATGTGTATACTAGATAAGATAAACACATACCAGTGTAGTCCTCATAACATTCACAAGTGTAGCCTCCTTCTCGGCTTCGACAAAGCCCATTATTGCCACAAGGACTGGAGTAGCAGAGGTCAATCTCCGTTTCACAATAGTCACCAGTAAATCCAGGAGGGCACCGACACCTCAGCCCATTGATGGGATGGATAGGTCGGAACAAGACAGTGTTTGAACTAATAAATGGAGCGGAGCTGTCAAACTTCAGCACAGACACACACTTCATGTAGTTCTCACAAGGCTCTCGCAGACAGATATTGTCATCGAAAGGCAGGACCCTCTGTGTAGAGATCATGGTTAGCAGTGTCCGGTTGAGGTAGATCTGTTCTTGGAGGTCCTCAGAGGGAAAGAATTTGTTTCGAATGCCACCAGGAAGCAACGCAGAGAATGTTACATTCAGGATATTGGAGCTGACATCAGTGTCATTTTGAATGTTAAAGACGAAGATGCCATCCTTGGTAGTAGAGAGCACTGTTGCCACACCCTCCACAAAGAGAGAGAGTAGTGGGGAGAGAAACTTTTCCTGAGACATGTTTTCCAGTCGCACTGTGATACTGTTGGTCAGCATGTCATCAGTTATGATAGTCACCCGCAGGGTGCAGAGAGCTGTAACACTGTGAACACCATCTACAGGGAGAGAGAAAAAAAATCAGTTATTCTACCAACCTTCTCTATGTGATGTGAGAAGGAAAAAACCTATCTAACTTCTGCCATACTCAACATTTCTGTTTGTGCACAGAAAAATTCCCTAGAATCAGGATTTATGTACAAGGGACACCTAGAATGCACTGTTCAGGGTTGTCCCATCACACCAGGTAGGACATTCCACTCAAACAACTAGAAAATATTGGCAAGACCAGTTGATCACATGACTGATGTGGCAGCATTAAGAGCAAGAAACTTTGCATAATATGAGCAGAACAGATCTTACACAGGTCATTCCTAGACTACAAGCAATGCTGTGAAACTCACTTTCCACAGTCTAAGACCAAAATTGAGCTCCAGCAGCAGCCTCAAGCTTAAGAAACTGAAATATGCCAGAAAAAGATTACCAAGGCTTTAGATCAGGGGTGGGCAAAATATGGCCTGTGGGCTGGATCTGGCCCACGGATGGACTTTGTCTGGTCCACAGCCGGTCCTTCGGTCCCATCTGGCCCAGGCACCATTTGGCTTATAGCACATCCCACTGCCCCTGGGTGAGCAACAGGATTGGAGCAGATCCACAGCTGGACATCATTTCTGGGCAGCCCAGGAGGCGGTTGTAGCTCCTTTGGGCTACTGCTGCCACTGGCCCCAACTGCATGAAGAGTGGGGGGCACCTGCACACACAGCCCTGACCTTGGCCCACCCCACATCCACTCAAGCCTCACCTCGGCCAGAGTGCACCAGCTGGGATCTATGGGCACAGCCCCAACCCTGGCCCACCCTGTGGGTGTGGGGGAAAAATGGCTGTCTCCCTTTTACCACTGCCAGGTCCTTCTTGATGTGGCCACCCAGAGCCTGTGCCTGGGATGGCCTGCATCTCCTCTCCACTGCCACCACTATTCCACTGGGTGGTCCAGAGGTGGTGCTGCTGATGGTGGTGATGGCAGTGGAGAAGAGCCGCAGGCAGCCCAGGCACAGGCTCCAGGTGGTCACAGCAAGAAAGGCCCAGCAGCGTCAAGGGGGGTGGCCACTCAGCAGATTCTCCCTGATCCTTGCCACTGCTGCTCAGCATGGGCAGGCAGTCCAGAGCAGGCATGGGGCGAGCCAAGGGCAGGGCTATGCCCATAGGTCCCAGCTGCTCCAGAACTGTTCCACTCCAGCCAGGGCAAATCTAGCAGGTGCAGGGTGAGCTGAGGCTGGGGCTGTGTACTCAGCTGCTGCTGGGTGCTGGTGGTGGTGGCAGGGCACATGGGCTGCTCAGTGTGCGGGGGTGAGAGGTAAGGGGTGCTGACCAGCTTGCGGCAGCTCACCAAAATTGCCTATGTGGCCTCTGGGCCCAAATAATTGACCACCCCTGCTTTAAATATAAGTCATCTTAGAGGGAAAAAAATCATATTTGATTTCCTTCAGGGATCTACAGGTAAGTTAAACATAGGCCGAGATCAAACCAATCTGTAATGGAATCCATCATTTTAAACTTTTCCATTTGTAATGATGTTTTTCAAATGCTTGACATTCTCACATTTGTTTTGGAACCCCAGGTCAAAATGTTCATACAGCCTAGTGATACTTGAGGGATACCAGCACAAAACCTTTTTACAGTGTATATAGTTGTATTTGCATTATGGGTCTGCAAATCTTAAACATCATTTTGTTATGACACACAATACTTAAAGACATAATGAATGCATAATTCAGTGTCAAATTTGTCATGAAAACCAGATCAAAGCCTCTTATTTAATTCTATCCACCTACTAATATCAAGAAGGTTATCATTTTTACATTGCTTATATTTTATTTAGAAAATATAGATTACAAAGCACACATTATTAATTGTATTACAGTAGCCCCAACAGATATGGGGTGAGGTGAGCACGCTAGTAGGGAGGGAAAGATTG